GGCTGAAAAAGGACGTTAAACTAGAATAATAATAATAATAATAATAATAGCTTTATACTTGTAATACTTCTAGTGGGACCGTGCGGGCATGTAACAGCCCACAGGTATTTAACCGTCCGCGGGCATTTGACCGAACGGCACGGTATACCGATTGGTCGCTCGCACAAAAATGTCCGCGTCTTGAACCATTGCAGGGGAACACTTGAAATCTGTTCTTCAATCGAGATCAACCGGAAAGGAAAAATTACATTTTTTCTTGTCTCACAGACCTGTTCATTTTCTTGATAACGCTGCAGCTTTTGCACTTACCGTGCATGCTACTATCATGACGAACACGCTTTCCGCATCAGACAAGTCCGGCGTTGATGCCTACTCGAACATGGATAACACCACTGGGACCACTTCGCCAGGCTCGAAGCTAGAGGCGGCGCCACTCACACAAGACGAGTCCAAGCCCCCAGCCCGTCATCTTCACGGTTGGAAGGTAAGCACATTAGTGTTTGCCGGCGAACAGCTCTAACTCCTCTAGTGGGCAATCGCATATGCATCGATCGCGACAACTATCTTCCTTTTCGCTCTGGACAATACAATCGTGAGTCATTCAATGCCCTGGTTCCCAGGATGCAACTCATGCCTTGAAGGTCGCCGCCGTCCAACCTTCGATTCTAGAGTCTCTTGGCAACGCTGCACTCCTTCCATGGATTGGCACTGGTTTCGCCCTTGGAAGTACCGCTATCCTGCCTTGGGGCAAGGCATATGGTGTCTTCACCATCAAATGGCTCTTCATCTTTAATGTACTGCTGTTCGAGCTAGGCAGCGTCATTTGTGGGGCGGCGCCCAATATGACTGCCTTCATCATTGGCCGTGTCGTCGCTGGCGTTGGCGGTTCCGGCATGTATTCTGGCTCCTTGAGCTACATCGCCCTTTTGACATCTTTGAAAGAAAGGCCAACGTATATGGCCGGGGTGGCGTTGGTCTGGGGTCTTGGGAGTGTCCTTGGTCCTGTGGTATGGGTTGTGACCCTTGCTGCATACTACTCTGCTTACGCGCATCATACAGATTGGTGGCGCTTTCGCCACGAGCAATGCCACTTGGAGATGGGTAAGTGCTTTAGGAAAGCAACACAATGGCAGCCCATATTGATTTTTGCAGGCATTTTACATCAATCTTGTTGTCGGTGCACTGTTTGCGCCCTCGTATCTCTGGCTCTTGCCTGACATGTGTTTGCAACCAACCAAGTCGCTCTCACAGCGACTTCGCCAGGTCGACTTGCTTGGGACCACTGTCTTTCTGGGCGGCTCGGTTTGTTTCACCATGGCCATCTCATTCAGTGGGTCAGTCTACAGCTGGGACTCAGGCTCTGCGATTACGCTCTGGGTCATGACGGGTGTCCTTCTGATTACGACAATCGTATTGACTTTAAAGCATCCACTTGTTACCAAGGAGAGCAGGTTGATACCAGCCCACTTCTTCCGGTCATTCCATCTTGTCAATCTCGGTCTCCAAATGTTCTTTGTTTCTGGAATCATGCTCTCCGGTGTTTATTACGTCCCATTGTTCTTCGCTTTTACCAAGGTTTGTCATCCTGCTGCACTGCAAGTTTTTTTTTCTCGGCTAACGCAATCTTGCAAACAGGGTGATGAAGTGATGCAAGCAGGAATTCGACTATTACCATTTATTGCTCTGCTAGTCTTCACCTCTTTGTTGAACGGAGTCCTCATGCCAAAGTATGGATATTACACGCCATGGTATATCATTGGTAGTGGGCTCTCCGTAATAGGCAGTGCGTTGATGAGTATGTGTATTCATCTTTCTAAAAACGTGGGTACTGACCAGCGAGTGTAGTAACTGTCAAAGATGACACTAATGTGGCAAACATATATGGGTACACAATCTTGGTGGGAGCTGGAGCGGGTTGCTACCTAGCGTCTGGCTTTGCTGTCATGCAAAGCTTCGTTCCAGTTCATGCCATTCCATCGGCAATTGGATTCCAAGCGATCGGTACATATATTTTTTTCTAAAGAGGAACTAAAATCCAGCTAACAGGGCTCTAGGGCAAATTTTAGGAACTGTCACCTTTCTCTCCGTATGTGGCAGCCTCTTTGCCAATACCGCTGTCAAGCTTATCATGCCGTTGTTACCTGCGGGAACTTCACTTGCAGCTGCCACTGATATTATTACTGGAACTCACAGTCCCGCGTTCCAAGATCTGGACCCTGAGGTCTCGCGCCAAGTTGTCAGCAAGATTGCACAGAGTATGCAGAATGTTTGGTCTTTCAATCTTGCAGGCAGTGCCTTGAGCTTTGTCCTTTCCTTGTTTTTGAAGGTATGATCGCCCGTTGCATAAACTTCTGGTTACTGACAGTGACTAGCAACAAAAGCTACCTACGGGCGCAATGTAAGAGCACGTGTCTCAAAGCTGAAGGTAGGATTCTAGGAAAAGAGGTGATGCGTTGGTTCATCGATCGAAGCACCTGGTTATCTGTAAACCGGGACTGGGTTTTGCATAATTTTCCGGCGTCGAGCAGACCCTAAGCGAAATTTTGCGTTTAGATAATGGGTTGCGTAAATAGTCTGTCAATAGTACAAGCAGTACACGACCGACTTTCACTATGAAACTACGCGTGACAGTTCATTCCAAGACATGGTGAATGCGACACCACGGTGGAATCGACTTTACAAGTGACATAGTGACCGTGCTGGTCTATAATCAAATGAAGCTATCATTTTTTCGGGTTCTTTGTGCTTGTTTTGATAAAACAGACTCTTCTGAAGACGTCTGAGTTCCCCTACCTGCGACACAGGTTATAGGTATGTAATTTGAACATAACATATGGTTATGGTCCTGCCTAATGCTGATTACAAGACAAGTTTTTCACAACCGTAAGTAAATGAAAGGAGACATAAATGGCTTAAACTTGAGGCTCTTGATTTGCCTCATCATGTACATTGTGCACCATAGCAAGGTGAAATAGTGTCCCTATAGTATGCCGCATGCTGTGTACCAAAGCAAGGGAGAAGTTGTTATTGGCAAACCATATTTGTATAGCGTGGTTTTGGAGAAATAAAAACTGTTAAACCATGGTAGACGCATAAAGAGGCTGCGAAGTATTCCCGCTACCCACCGCGGGTGCACCCTGAGACCAGATCCCAAACACCAGCAATGAGACGACATAAACTGCAAGACTTATCAAGACAATAGGAATCACAAGCTTATTGTTCGAACCCGGATCCTTGGAGAGGGGCTCATCTTGTGTGAAAACATCGTCTTTCTCCCAGTGATGCTTCTCCCAAGGCAGACTGCCCACCTGTTCCTTGAAAGGAATATAGCTCAGCTTGGGCGCTCTGAGACATGCTTTGGCAACCTGAACTGCTACGATTTCCAGGCCAATCGTGCTAAGAGTCATGTTAGTGCTTGCAATCCGAGATAGAGCGAGGTAATGACGTACGGTAGAACCCAGCGTTGGAGGAAGTACATTAGCCATCCATCGTAGGCTTGCATGCGTGTCATCATCCAACTAATGTCAAAGAGCTCCTTGACGCGCGGCTTGTGCAGGTTCTGATACGCTTGAAATGCATTCTTCACTTCGGTGTCGGTGGGCTTTTTGTTCGGATGGCGATTTACCAATGTATGCAGCTCGTTGGCAAGGCGGACAGCGGCTTCGATTGCCAAGTTGCCTCCGAGAGCGGCGTTTGGCGTCACTTTGTGGGCCGCATCGCCGACAAGGACGGTGCGGCCAAACGACCAGTGCGATAGAATACCTTCTTCGAGAGACACCATCTGGCCTCGTGATCGGGCCTTCCAGATGTCTCCAAAAACTAAGTTATCGCTGACGGGATAGTCGGCTAGTTCGGCTGCTCTAGCGTCTGCATCGGCCTGTGAAAAGCGCAGACGATTAGGATATCTGACAACCTTTGGCAGTTTGCTGACCACAATGAAGTAGATTGCATCGGGTTGCGTAAGGAAGAGGAAAGAGAATTTGTCGTTGGCGACGGTCGTCATATCCTGGGTGCCCAGACCAGGCATGTATGGAGTGATGCCGATGAGACAGCTGTACTCAGTCTTGATGGCGTGCTTTTCTGCAACTGAAATGAGGCCTGGGGACAGCTTATCTGCCTTCTGCCACATGATGTCACGAACGCCGCTGTGAACACCATCGCAGCCGGCAATAATATCACCCACATGCTCGGTGCCATCAGCAAGTATGGCTCGCACTTTGTTGTTCTCTTCAATGATGTCGACGACACGAGCATGCTCTATGACTTTGGACTTGTCGGGCAGCTTGTCGTACAAGGTCTGCAGAAATGCTCTCCTCTCCATTGTGAGAGCTAAATACCCGGTCCTGCAAGCAGGTAATATGTTAGCTGGTGTCGAGAAGGATACAAAACTAGTATTGAAAACGAAACCTGCCTACCTTTGATTCACAAAGTGAATGAAGTCTTGGGCAAGGTAGCATTGCCCATCTGGGCCTCTATTCCAGAACTTACGCATCTCGGCGCACTGAGCTTCAACAGCTGGAAGTAAACCAAGTTGGTCCAAGACCCGTACACTTTGGGTATGAATGGTGATGCTTGCACCCCATTCTGGCGCCACAGGGTGTTTGTCGAGGACCACATAGTCTATGCCAGCTTTATGGAGACTGTGAGCCAGAGTCAGGCCACCAACGCCGGCGCCGACGATGATGACTTTGAAGTATGGTTCGACGTGGCCGTTCATGATGGGCAGGTGTAGGAAGAAATGTCCAAAAAAATAACAATAACAACAACAACAACAGATCTGGCCAGCAGCAAATACTTGCTTTGACCAGGATGCGCAAAGAACGGATCAAGAAACCGCTTATAAGCTGGATTCACACACGAGGGACACATGCATGGCCTGCACTACCGCCACAATCAAGAGCATTGCATTCGACCTTGCTGTGTTTTGCCTGGACAATGGACAGGGCGGAGAATCGCAAGAGTGGCCCGACAGACGGCCGGCAATGTCCTGTACGCTGCAACTGCATTTGTGGTATCAAGCAGCATTCTGGTAATCCCGGTAGTTGTTGGTGGTTAGGCAGACAGCCGGCTGGCCATGACCGGTGCGGAACGGGGCGCGGACGGCTGAGATGTGCGCGCGCTACTTACTGTACAGTACGTAGATATCGGACAGCCAAGGCCCGAGCCGAACAGCCATCAGGAACAACTGACTCTGTCCGCCCAACCTGCACCGACACTGACCAGTGCGCAGTCCTCGTGTCCGTTCCCCCATGTGCGCAACGCTGACCACCGTTTTCCACCCACCTGGTCGGGAGGAACCGTGGGCGCTGACACGAATCCTGTGTCGCAACCGGGAAGCGCATGTCCATGGCTGTGGACATCGCCTAACATGGTCTAGCATGTCCGCAAGGGACTTGCTCGCGTTTCCTCCATGATTTTGATAGGCATTCTAACGGTCCAGAGCAGAAGTACTCCAGATTTGGGGCAAATGCTTGGTTATAAGACCAGGCATACACCTCGAACGCTTCCAGCAGGGACGAAAGTCTTCCAGCGACTACCTACTCGAGTTTCTTTTACCTTTGGCTTGTCTTGTGTTGCATTGTCGATATGCCTTTTCTTGGCTCCTCTCCAGACCTGTCCCCCAGTGGGTCAGACACACGATCTGAGTACGATGCGTCTCAACAGGCTCAGCACATTATCAAAGATGATGACTATGCCGCCAAGATGCTCCCCGGGAGCAATGAGAAGCCGCTCAGTCAACAACTTGAGCCTATTGCTGTAGTAGGCATGGGTATGTGATGGCACTCTTGAACCGATTGGCCGCAAAGCTGATGATTACTGCTAGGATGCCACCTGCCGGGCCATGTACGGTCCGCATCGGGCTTCTGGGATATGATGATGTCGAGTAGGTCAGGGCAGACACCCAAGGTGCCAAAGAGTCGATTCGATATCGATGCACACATCCATGAAAACAACGATCGGCCTGGCAGCTTCAGCGTGCTGGGAGGTTATTTTCTGGATGAAACCCTCCACGAATTCGACCCTTCGTTCTTTGGCATAACCCCAATCGAAGCCATGTGGATGGACCCCCAACAACGCAAGCTGCTCGAGGTCGTATATGAGTCTCTCGAATCAGCGGGAGTTACGCTTGACGACATTGCCGGAACAAAGACTGCGGTATTTGCCGCTTGCTTCACAGCTGACTTTCAACAAATGTGCTTCAAGGAGCCTGCTTTCCGCCATTCCCTTGCCGCAACCGGTGTCGATCCAGGAATCCTGAGCAATCCAATCAGTCACGTCTTTAACCTGAGAGGGCCATCTATCGTGGTAAACACTGCTTGCTCCTCGAGCGTTTACGCTTTGCACAATGCTTCTAACGCTTTGAGAAATGGCGAGTGTACCGCTGCAATCGTTGCTGGTGTGAATCTGGTCTTGGCGGTCGATCAGCACATGAACACCGCGAAGCTTGGCGTGCTGTCACCAACTTCGACATGTCATACGTTCGATGAATCAGCAGATGGCTATGGCCGTGCTGAAGGCGTGGGTTCGGTATATCTCAAACGCCTTAGTGATGCCATTCGTGATGGGGATCCCATCCGCGGTGTCATTCGATCAAGCGCCACCAACAACAATGGACGCGTGCCTGCTGTCGGCATCACACATCCCAACCTGGAAGGCCAAGCTGAAGTCATATCTACAGCCTACAAGCGTGGGGGCGACCTTGATCCGCGATTGACGGGGTACTTCGAATGCCACGGCACAGGCACAGCTGTCGGTGACCCGCTTGAAGTACGCGCTGTGTCTCTTGCTATGAACCAGTCCAGGCAGCACAATGACGGTCCGCTGATGATTGGGGCCGTCAAGACTAACATTGGGCATAGTGAGGCAGCTTCGGGGCTGTCTGCACTGATCAAAGGCATTTTGACTGTCGAGAGGGGCATTGTACCGCCCACACATGGCCTGGTGAAACCGAGTCCCGCCATCCAATGGAAAGACTGGAAAGTCACAGTACCGGTGGTACCCTCGCGATTCCCCAACTTGCCTCTCAAAAGAGTCAGCATCAACTCTTTCGGTTACGGAGGAACCAATGCTCACATTGTCGTGGAGAGCGCGGACTCTCTCTTGGTCCAGAAGCAATCCTACAAGTATTTAGTTGATACCGACAAGACGATGAAATTACCAAGAGGAGCCTTCAAACGCAGTCGGAACCACCTTCTTCTCTTTTCCGCTCATGATAAGTCAGCTTTGCAGAGAAATTTCGCTGCCCATAGTGAGGTCGCCAAAAACTACGAGCTCTTAGACCTGGCCTATACACTAGGCAACCGGCGTACAGCATTTTCAAGCCGCGGCTACACAGTTGTCAGTCCAATGACACAACGCCAGACCAATTTGGGCGAGTTGGTTGTTGCCGAAAACAAGAAGACGCCAACAATCGGCTTCGTGTTTACAGGGCAAGGCGCGCAATGGGCTCGTATGGGCGCGGAACTCATGACCTACTACCCAAGCTTTCTCCACAGTATTCGAATGCTTGACATGGCTTTGGACGAGCTTGAAGATGCACCTGACTGGACTATTGAGGACACCCTTCTCCTTCCGGATGACATTTCCCCAGTCAGCGAAGCCGAATATGCCCAGCCACTCACTACTGCTATTCAGATTGCTCTTGTGCAGCTACTTAGGCTGTGGGATATTACGCCTACTGTCACGGTGGGCCATTCATCAGGAGAAATTGCGGCAGCTTATGCTGCCGGATATATCTCTGCATCACAAGCGATTGTTTTTGCGTACTACCGCGGCCTTGTCGTTCGAGACGTCAGCAACGAAGGCGCAATGCTTGCTGTTGGTCTCGGCGCTGAAGCAGTCGAGCCGTACTTGATCGAATCGAAGGGCAAGGTCCTTGTAGCTTGCCACAATTCTCCAGCTGGAGTCACTTTATCAGGAGACACACCTGCAATTGCCGAGATCCAAAAGAAGCTAAGCGAAGACAATGTGTTTGCGCGGCTAGTCAAGACAGGCGGAAAGGCATACCACTCTCATCACATGGAGCCCGCTTCGGCCAAGTATGAGATGTACATTCGCCGTGCTAGAGAAATATCCATGCAATTGGATATTCCGCTGAGGACAAACGCCAAAATGGTGTCCTCTGTGACAAACAGCGTACTTCCCAGGGATGCTGTTTTGGATGAAGTCTATTTCAGCAAGAACCTGAAGCAGCCTGTTCTCTTCAACCAAGCTGTTCAGTCAATTTTGACCGACCCCATGCTTGCAGATGTCAACACGCTGATTGAGATTGGTCCACACAGCGCAATGGCCGGGCCAATCCGCCAGATCAAAACAGCTTTGGGTCTATCTCAGCTCGAGTATTTGCCGTCCTTGCTCCGTGGCCAAGATGCTGCGTCGCAGATGTTGAAGCTTGCAGGAGAGCTTTTCTTACGAGATTATCCTCTAGATCTTGCCACGGTCACAGCGGAGGAGAAGTCCAGCAAGAGTGGCAAAATCGATCTCATGCATGGTCATCTGATCGTCGACCTGCCGCCTTACCAGTGGGGCAAGAAAGCCTATTGGGCTGAAGCGCGACACAGTGACGAGCTTCGTCATCCAAAATATCCACGTCATGATCTTCTTGGCTCCATGCTCCCAGGAGGCTCCTTATCTGAACCGACATGGCGCAATGTGCTTCGCATTCGGGATGTGCCTTGGCTAGTAGACCACTCCTTGGGTGGTGAGGCTGTTTTCCCGGCTGCTGCTTACTTCTCAATGGCCATGGAAGCAATAACACAACTTACCGAGACTAGAGGTGAGAATGTTCACATCGCCAACTACGTGCTCCGGGATGTGACAATCGAAAAGGCTCTGGTCACTCCAGACGATGACACAGGCATTGAAGTACTGTTCAGCATGCGACGCGCAAACCATCTAGAGGACGATGAGCAGCGTCCTTGGTGGAGCTTTAATGTGTCTTCCATCAACCAAGATGGGTTGACCAACGATCACATGAGTGGCAGCATCGCAATCAATGCTCGTGCAGAGCGTCCTGCACCAAGACCATCCCTTCATCTTCCCCAGCGAGCGTCTGGGAGAGAATGGAATCGAGCTCTACGCTCGGTTGGATTCGATTATGGTCCAACATTCGCCGACATGACCGACATTGAGTTCAATGGCGTTGATTTCATCTGCCAGAGCAAGACGCAAGTCAAAACCACGGCTGGAAATATTATTGGCGAATCTCGTCATGTACTTCACCCGGCAACCGTCGATTCATGCCTCCAATTGATGATTGCCAGCATCTTTGCTGGAAGAACACAAGCAATGTTTGCGGCTATTGCACCCACTCAAGTCGACGAGGTTTCTATCTGGCCACCTACAAGGGATCAACTGAATGAAGGCTTTGCCACAGCCTGGACAGACGAGCGCGGGTTACGATCATTCGTCTGTGGCAATCAACTGGTGGCAAAGAATGGCCAAGTTTTGATGGAGATGAACAATATGCGCGGCACCCTTTACGAAGCAGCTGTTCCCCAGTCGTCTCTGGCTGACATGAAGTCAATGCCTTATGGTAAGATGACATGGAAGGTCGATATTGACTCGCTCAAAACCGTTGAGAGTGTTGAAAAGTTCATCGAACTGGCTCATTTCAAGGACCCTACTGCCAAGATTCTAGACACTACCGGGTCCATACGCCTAAACCTTCTGGAAAGGTTCCCCGAAATGTACTACACAATCATCATGGCAGATGCCAACGACACAGAGAACTACATGAGCCGGTTCAAGAATGCCAAGGCTTTCACAGCTGGTGCTAATACCAGTCTTCTTGACCAAGGCCTTGAGAAATCAGCGTATAGCGTAGTCATCGCTCCGCAAGATAACGCTAACATTTCAGAGCTTTCTCAGATGCTTTCTTCAAATGGCAAGCTTCTCCTGGAGTCTGGTCACGCTGTGGTAGTCAATCAGCTGAGCCCACCGAAGAATGAAGAGAAGGTATCCAAGGGAACTGTACAGATTGTCCACCGTGAGAGCGACACAACCATGCTGGACAGAGTGCAAAGGTATGTTCTCAATACTCATCACACTAGCCGTACTTCTCTGACCTAGACAGATCCCTTTCTCAACTGGGCTACGCCTCCACAGCTGTACCGCTCACAAGCGTTGCAGATGTCAGCGCTCATGTCATTGTGCTGGACCTCTCCAAATCCATGCTTGTCAACTTGACACAGCCCGAGTTTGAGGCTCTACAAAAGCTTCTCGATTCAGCCCACACACTACTTTGGGCTACCTCTGGAGGTCTCTTGGATGGAAAAATCCCAGAGGCGGGCATGGCTGCGGGGCTCTTGAGAGTCATCCGAGCTGAGCAAGCCAGTATCAATGTTGTAACCATTGATTTCAACCCCGATAATACCACGACTGCTCAAGCTGCAGATAGTGTTGCGGCAAACGTTGCGCGTCAGATCGAGGATCCCGCCAGGGTCGAGCACGAATACTGCATTTCAGGTGGTCAGACCTACATCAGCAGATTAGAACCGAATGAGGAAGTCAACGTTGTCGCGACACTTGACAAGCAAGGGCCAGAAGAGGTTTTGCTCGATGCCAACATGCGCCTCGAAGGCGACGTCCGATCTGGCCAAGTGGTTTTCAATCGTATCAATGAGCAGCCTAGGATCGCTTCCGACGCCGTCGAAGTAGCTGTGACCATGACTGGCTTGAATAAGGAGGGCGTCCAGGTGATCAACGGGACTGACACCAGCACACTCTTTAGTCACGAGATTAGCGGTATTGTTCAGCGTCTTGGAGATTCTGTACGACAATTTAGTGTCAGCGATCGCGTCGTTGGCTTCAGTTTTGATCATCTTAGCACTCACCAAGTGGTGCCCGCAAAGATGCTACAGAAGCTTGATGAAGAAGAGTCTACACTAGACATGGTTGGTCTACCCATGCCGTACGCCACTGCGCTTCACGGGTTGAAGACTTTGGCCGCTGTCCAGCGCGGCGAAAGAGTTCTTATCCTCGAAGGCACCGCTCCTGTATCTGGCGCAGCCGTTGAAGTATCGTATCTGTTGGGTGCCATCCCATATGTTGCGACTGCAAGTCGAGAAGAAGCCGAACGTGTCACTCAGCAGTTCAGGCTCGGCCGCGATCAGGTTTTCGCATCCGAGGAGGAGTTGTTCATGTTTCTGCGCCGTTACAGCCATAGGAGTGATGTGGATGTTGTCTTCAGCTCCGCGGCGACTCACGAGAGCGCCACTCGCGAAGCCTGGCGTACCATATCGTCGTATGGCCGCTTCGTTAGCTATGGCAAGAAGAGCGCGCACAAGCGTACCGCCATCGATCCAGTGCCCTTCTCTCGCGGTGCAAATTACTATTCTTACGACATTGTCGATCTCTACAACCAAAAACCGGTGGTTGTGGCGAGCCTTCTCGCGGAAACAATCAAGTTCTACCGCGAGGGCCGAATTGCAGCCCCACAGAACCTCGTGGTCCGCAATGTCGCGGAAGTAGACGACGCAGTGAACACATTTGAGGACAATTTTAAGGCCGGCAAGACCTTGCTTGAGTACAAGCCAACGGAGAGGCCCGTAAAAGTTGTGCGAGTTTCTGCTGAATCAAGGCTTGATCCCGAAGGCACTTACTTGCTTGTTGGATGCTTGGGTGGACTCGGGCGCAGTCTGACCATGTGGATGATGAAAAAGGGAGCTCGGAACTTCTGCTTCTTGTCGCGCTCGGGTGCCGATGCTAGAGATGCTGCTCAGCTGGTCAAAGATCTCGAGGCAGCTGGTGCGGTGATCAAGATTGTGAGAGGGGATGTCTCGGTTCGCGCAGACGTTCAACGAGCCGTTTCAGAGATACCTGCTCATCGTCCAATCAAGGGAGTTGTTCATGCTGCCATGGTTCTCCGGGTAAGTCTCATATTATGTGCTTATCTCAATCCTGACGGCCACTAACAAACGTTCCATAGGATGGCATCTTCGCTAAAATGAATTTTCAAGATTGGCAAACATCCATCAAGCCCAAGGTCTACGGTGCAAGCAATCTCCAGGCTGTGCTTGGAAACATCCCTCTTGACTTTTGGCTAATGACTAGTTCCGTGTCTGGAATCCTCGGAACCCCAGGTCAGGCCAACTGCGCAGCTGGTAATGCATACATGGATGCGCTCGCCAGCCACCGTCGCAGTCTTGGTCTGCCCGCTTGTGCTGCCATCATCCCCATGGTCCTTGGTGTCGGAGTTGTGGCTGAGAATACCGAACTCGAAGCAGCGCTGACCCGCAAGGGCATGTATGGTATTGATGAAGAACACCTCCTGCGGTCCTTTGAGCTCGCCATCAACATGCAAAAGGCTGGTGGGAGCAACAGTACCATCGATCACTTGGTCATTGGTCTTGATCCTGTCATGCTTTCACGAGCAGTCAAAGATGCCGGCAATGTCGAGCCATTCTACATGGCTGATGAGCGGTTCCGCACCCTGGTGCACAACATGAACGGCAGTACGGCCATGGGTGGCGATGCTGGTGCCAATGTTTTGGCTTCCATGCTGAGTGCAGGCACGCCGGCCGAGGCTATACAGATGGCTCGTGACCATATCGTTGGCAAATTGTCGCGCATGTTGTTACTAGATCTTGATGTTTTCGAGGGCGATGGTCGTTCCATTGCAAGTTACGGAATTGATAGTATGATTGGTGCGGAGTTGCGCAACTGGATTTTCAAGGAGTTTGCAATGGACATTCCGTTTCAGCAGCTTTTGGGCCCGACGCTGACGACAGTTGAGTTGGGAAAGAAGGTTTGCATCAAGCACGGTATCTTGAAGGAGTAGTAGGTTTTGTAGGCTCGGGGTAGCATGGATGTCGGCATAGCAGATAGTTTTCTTAGTTGATATTGCACATGTATCTCCCTATAGCGCTGTTTAAGAATTGAGGTGTGCTTTGTAGCCCGTTATGACATGTATGTTCTGGAGTTCCTTCAAGATTATTAGTCGTGTGTTTAAAGCTTTGGTCCAATATGATTCCCCAGAACACTTTTAAATCTTGGTCGATTGGTAAAACATGAATCTTCTTTTAGTGTAGAGAGACTTCCAACATTGACCTTTTTTGATGTACGATGTGGCAGAATCGTGCAATTTAGTACTTCTCGTTTTGAAGATAATGCGCAGTCGGTCAGATGCACAATATTATGTAGAAGAAAATAGTTCAAAAAAAAGAAAAAGAGGGAGAAAACAAAGTCATGCATGTGAAATTTGCAAGCAGCGAACAACAACAATGATTTCGAAACAGGATTCTTTGCGTAGCCTGTCAATTTAGGTATCTCATGCTTTCTCCGTGCGTCCATGTCTCAAATCATATAGTCCTCCTCCGAGCCATCATCCATCCTGTCTACTAGCCTACATAGTTTTCACAGCCGGCACCATGGCCCTCATTCGATTCTCCCTCACTGCCAACACAAAGGAGCCTGCTGCACCAGGACCCAAGACGACCGTGCCTAGCAGGTTCCACAACAAGGCCGTTTTCTTGGCCTGTTCGATAAGCCTTGGCGCACTCTTCTCCAACAAGTGGTTTGTGATGATGATGCATGCAGCCGCGACAATAATCCAATCGAACTGGGTGAACAAATGTGCGCCTTCTACCAGGGCCGCCATCGAGCCTCGTGGATGTGCGAATACGCTGCGTGGCGATGGCATATAGAGTCTCAAGATGCCAAGGTCAGTGTTGCTAGTGAAAGACGCAGCCAGCGCGGACAGTACGACGGATACATGGACAGCAGCGGACAGAACGCCTGTTGCGACGAACGAGGCAACGACCCATGGCGCGTCTTCGTTTGGCGCACTCTTTCGCTTTGGAGTTTCGAGTTGCGTGAGCGATGTTCCCGGACGGCTGGCTAGGACGACGGTGACTATCATGAGCATGGGGTTGAGATGGTACCACGCGACAAGGCCTTGTTGAGTATGTGCATGCCATCCTAGCCATGAAGCTGCGTACATGAGTACAGGGAAGAGGGCGTTTACCAGAAGTGTCGGGGGAAAGCCGCAGGCCTCATTGAGTGGAATTGTGCAGTCGCGCGTGGTGTAGGCGGATCTTGCGAGGAGGTAGAAGAATAGAGGGACTACCATGGCAGCACCGGCCATGTTCCAGAGAAACATAAAGACAACGATACTGAGGTGGGGGATTAGCCGGGCAGCACTATTGCAGACGACGAAGAGATGACTAACTGTCGGAGGAAAAAGTTTCTGACGCCTCGCCGTCGGCTTTCAATCAGTACCCATGTGTTTATTGCTGCAAGAACATTGCACATTTCGAAGAACAGCCATCGTGGTGCGTGCACGTTGCGGGCCGTGATCAGCATGTCGAAGAAGGCGACTACAACGACTAGATTGCCGTCTACACTGGGATACCCCGTGAAGGTTTGTCGAATTGGACGGCCATCAGGAAAGTATCCGTGTTTTGCGGCGAGCGAGACGCCGTTGAGCGTACCATTGATGAGCATGGTGCCCCAGAGCAAGACGACACTGGCGCCACTCAGCAGCAGCAAGGATTGAATTGGCACCATTTTGGTTTCTTTTTTTTTTGCAAGCTTGCTGTGAAAGAAGGCTGAGACGTACCAGCTGACATATACACTTGTCGTCGACGTCTGTCACGTGGTTTTACATGGCATGCCGTGAGCATCGCCCGATGAGGACTAGACCTCCCGCAGAGCGAGCCAATCAGCAGGCTCAGAGCCGCGGACATGTGCGGCCGACCAAAGTCCGCTGGATTTCCTCATCCGGCCTTAGCGTCTCTGTCCACCTCTTGGATGCTTTTGTTTCCATAGAGCGAGTGGTGGCGCTCCCCCATGGACGGCATGCTACCCGGCGCAACCCAAGGATCAAAGCCCTGTACAGCCCACGCCTCGACCCCACTACTGCATAGCTTAAGAAGCTGTCCGCACCTGCATGCGCAGCCGCAAAAAGGCCACATTTGTCCGCGCTCCTGGCACTCGCTCCCCGTGCCGGAGCCTGTCGTACACACTGGCGCATAATGGCAACATCCATACACGTTGTGTCCAAGCTGGACAATGCCAAGCATGCCGTCTTCCACATCGACCAGGACCCTCCAAGCCTCGCGGCATCTTCAGTCCGTGTCCAGACGTGGCTTGTTTCCCTCAGCTACAACAACTTGACCTACGCCCGATCGGGAACCCCTCTGCACTGGTGGGATACCTATCCCGTTCCCGATGCGAGTCCAACACCCTTCAACAATCGGGAAGAATGGGGCATCGTGCCAGCTTGGGGCTATGGCCGCGTCCTCGAGAGCACAAACGATGCCATAGCGCCAGGGACGCTGCTGTGGGGCATGTGGCCTACTTCAGAGCACGCCGTCGACCTCCAACTCGAAGCAATCGAGCCATCGGGTCATTGGTCGGAGCGTAGCGCACAGCGAAGTAAGCTCATGACGGTTTACAACACCTACGAGCAAGTTGACGAAATCGATGCCCAGGCCATGCGCATGACCGCGCTCTGCAAACCCCTCTGGCAGGGCCCGCATCTGCTCAACACAAGCGTATTTTCCGCACGACGCATCCACCCTTTTGGTTTCGGTGCGCCATGGTCTCAAGAGGATGCCGACTTGTCGTCGGCTGTAGTCGTCAGTCTCTCTGCCTCAAGCAAGACTGGCCGAAGCTTTGGCTGGGAAATGACAAGGAATCGAGATGTGTCCAAACACGGACCTCGTGCCTTGATACAGATGACATCAGTCCCCAACACATTATCTGAATACGACTCGTCCCTGCCAATGAGGGCAGCTGCATACGACGACACGAGCGCCATGGCGTGGGCCAAGCAATTCAAGCCGTCACGGGTCGTCATTGTCGACTTTGGCGCATCTGACGCAGTCCTAGAGTCAGTCAGAGCTGCGGCATCAAAACTTGCTCCAAACGTAACTGTCGTTGCTGTTGGCTACGAAGCCAAAGTCTATACACAAGAGGAGATTGCAGCCAGGATGGCGACTGCTAATACCAAAGTCCCAGTCAACACGAGTGGGATGCGAGATCGGGTCATCGAATCTCAAGGCGCGTTGGAATTGTCCCAGGAGCTAGACGATACATGGAATAAGTGTTTGAAAGAAGAGGCTTTTACCAACCTTCAGTTAAAAGTCTTAAATGCCGTTCAAGGGGAACAAGGCATTGAGGGAGCATGGAGTGCCTTGTGTAATCGCAAGGTTCCAGCAGACGTCGGCATCGTCGTTGACTTTTCCACAAGATGGACTTGCTAGGCAATGGAACTTTTATAGCTTGATCAATTTTTTCCTTTTTTTGCAAATGAAAGAGCATTCCTGCAATGAGCCGCAGGAGTAGAATCATAGCTGATGATGGTGCGGACCGATCTGCAGATCACTTCATTCCTTCGACTTGAATGTACCTATTGGACAGACTTGCAATATCGACCATTACTACAGATTTCATCATGCTTCCAACAGGTCAATCTTATGATAAGCTGGTGCGCCTTCAACTCACACAAACTTGCGGCCATGCTCCTAATCTTGCAGTCATCACATTCTTCCCAACAATCTATCCCATGCCACTCCCGTCTTCTTTCACCGTTTGTAATAAAGATACTCCTGTCATCACCTGCTACTACATGCAAACATTAGACGTGTGTCTTTTTCTTCATTGCTATCCCCACAGGTTACCATGGCCGCGGCTCGTGTATCTAACTATCAAGCGTCACTGCACATCCAATCCCGCCCTATGTTCAAGCCTTGGATTACGCTGATATTACAACTAAGTAGCGCTAAGAATCTCTGCGGACCAGGTCAGTTGAAGCATGAAGTTCAACTATAAAATTACTGTACCTACCTTCCGTTGCTAGCCGGAACTGCTCCTCCTCTTTACCTTCACCCATAAAGCTTTCTTCGCCCATACTACATAAGGTTTTTGATTATGCCAGTTTTCGCTCTCTTTACATAATTCCAGATCGAAATTCCACAGCACCCGCGCAAGAATCACGCGCATCTCGTTGTATGCTAGATTGCGGCCAACACAGTTTCGCGGACCTACATGGAAAGGTTGTCGGGCAGCACGAATGACATTGTAGAATGCCGAAGTAGGATTGGTTGCAGCCTCACGCAGCCAGCGCTCCGGATGGAAGGACAAGGGCTCATGGAAGTTGCGAGGGGACCAGTATGTGGACAACTGATGGACACTGACGGTCGTCTGCATAAGAGATTAGTTTGAGAAAGGTCAGAATGAAGACTTTCGAATTAGTAGCTGCTTACGTTTGGAGGTACTTCAATGTCTGAAATTCTGGTGGGCGCTCCAGGGAGAGTGCGACGCGGGAGTTGGGTCGCAACAGGCGGATATATTCGCAGAGCTTCTTCTAGACAGGCAACCATGTATGGCAATTTGTTCGCAGTCGAAATGAAAGTAATCTCCTCTTCAGTCTCAAACTGTGTGCGTACTTCGTCAATGGCCTTCTTGAGCGCTTGCGGCGTTTTCAAAAGCCAGTAGGTTGCGCCTGAAAGTAGTGTAGCTGTCGTTTCTGAGCCAGCAAAGATGAGTGCGTTAGCATTCGAGACAATTTCCTCAAATGAAAGCTCGTCTCCGTCGCCTTTATGCCGTAACATTGAGTCCACGAAGTCGCTACGGCCATGTTGCTGAGTGTTGTTGATACGTTTTGTAACCGTAATCCGTGCGAAAGACTCCTGCCTCTTGCCAGCTTCGAAAAGAAACTTCGGCGTAAAGATGGAGATCACGGCACCAATGAGGGGATAAGCATTTGCCAGTCTTGTGAACATCCCAAACTTCGTGAACAAAAAAATATTGGTGATCCATTCATGCATGTCGGTGTTCTGCAGTCCTCCGAACGACTGCCCAAAGGAGAGGTCGCCGATCACATCAAAGGTAGTGAGATTGTACCATCGGACCATGTCGGTTTTCGAGGTGGAAGAAGCAACGTCCTTCAGCTTTTCGATGAGTAAGTCCACATAGACTTTGATTAGCGGCTCCTGTTGACGCAAGGCCTTGTCGGAAAAGCCATAGGCGAGAGCCTTTCGGTATCTGGTGTGGTATGCGTCGTTATCTGTGAAGAGAATATTGGGGGTACTGTTTTTTTTTCATCGAACAACTTTCGGTAGCTGGCGATGCCCGTGGCCAAATATGTCTTGCCATGCGTCTGCAGTAGTAAATGAGACTTCGTTTGGGCCAAGCCGAACAATATCCCCGTATTTTTCATGTATGTCGAGAATTTCGCTGTCCAGGTTTCCTCTCAAAGCAGCTACATGGCGCAGAAGCGGGAAGGCAATCCACGATTTACGCCCCGGTATTTTGCTAAGAGGACTGAAATATAGTTCATATACAATGCTTGCAAGAATATAAATAATGTAGAGACCAACGATGTATGCCAGTAAGTAGAAAAAACCGGTGTAACAGAAGCGATATTTCTGCAAGAGATGGGATGCCCCGTAGCGAGGCGCCATGTTGGTGCATAAAGGTTGAGAATAGGACGAAGGATTGGGGAGTTGAAAGAACATATAAGGTATGAGTGATGTCTCAGAAGAACGAGCGGACGATCGAACGACCGAGAGGCCGACCTCTGGCGCGAGGCGACCGCCGACGCAGAGCCGACCCTCCGTCGATCCCGACACTTCAAGGAAGGCCTGTTAACACTATCTTGCTGCAGGGATACCTTTCAGAAACAATTTATAACAGGGATAGTAAGAATATCATTACTCAAAAGAACTTCCGCGTGTCTAAATATCTATTCTTTATCTTCTCTTGAGTCTGCATTTACTTTGTTTATACTATGTATTATACGAAAAGGGTTGTTTCTTTTGAATCTTAGCTTCAATGCCAACATTCTGTAAATCTTTTATCATAACAGTTATAGATTTCTATTTTTCAATGAATTGAATGTACGCATCAATTCTAAAAACAAATCGACATAGTTGAACGAGTTCCCAACCTTCCGACGGGATTATAGTGGCTATAGTATACAAAACAAAATTGAAAATGGGATGTTTAGAGCAAAGTTTAGATTCATAGTGTAAGAGTCTATTATGCTGATACACCCCTATTAACAAATACTTTTGAAAGGCACCTCCGAAGTATTACTCTATCTACTAGGATGATATCTCATTTCTTCCGTGAACAGTGTACAGTGGGACCTTTCACTCCGTATTAGTAGGATTCTTAACTGTTACCTCTATATGCTCATAGAGCTAACCTCTACTACATATCCTTAGGGCAAAGATTTTCAAAAAGATAGGAGTTAAGGTAGGATGGACTTAGTCAGGCCTCCGTCCCTAGCTATTGAGCACTCTAATCTACACAAATCCAGCCACCGTCTTTCGTATCTGAAAATGGATCAGACTTGCATTTGTCAGGCCCTTCCGCAGCTGGCCACCCGTTCTTCCAGTAGTCATTAAAAGGTCCTGATTTCTCTGCTTTGCACTACATATAACGGTGTTCAGTTAGCCTCAAAACCTATAGTGTGTTTGGCAATTGCGATGACAGGGGTAGAGACGGAGATACAGTCACTCACGCAAGCTCTAGCTTTCCATCCATCACAATAGGTACTCCAAATTTGCACCGTGCCTTTCACACAGTACCATAGAATTTTGTGGCTAAGGCCGGATTCAAAGAGAGATGTAATTACAGGGAGAGTAACTATCTTTCATGACATCAGTTTTGAAGTTCTGTCTTGCAAGGGTGATATTGAAAGAAAATGCTTCAACACTCGACGTAAACAGGGACAACCCGACAAAATATATATTATACTCGTCAGGGTCAATCTTGATATAGGGGTATTTTGCGGGACGTTGGCTGATGTAAGACTAGGATTCTCAATTTTATGAGCTTTTTTATAACACATGTCACTTGAAGCTGAAGTTTCTATCACTTTTCTAGGTAAGGGGTGATCGTTAGCATTTCAAAGGTTATTGCCTCAACTCAGAGATCAATCAGCGCATTGAGTGTATCCTATCGATTCTGTTTCATATTAGGCTGAATAGCTCTGGAATGGCTTCGTAACAATGCTTACTACTACGAACAAAGTTTTTCACCCATGTTAGGGTTACATATAAGCCGTCCATTTCAGACATATGATGTAATGACGTTTCTTCACAGGGTATATTGAATTTTACCCCGCTTTTGTACGTTTCCACAATTACCCAACAGCCGTCCTTTGCATACTTAATGCACTTCTTACAAGCTTTTGATTGTTAAATCTTCATGCTCTAACAGCACTGAAAATCATCACTTATACCTACCGAATATTAAACACTCTTGAGTTCCTTTCCCTGTCTCTACAAGGGTTATATAAGACAGGACGCTACTAATATATACATTTTACCAATATGAGTATACAAGCAACTTCGAAGTGAGTTGTTTACACAACCATTATAGCCTTGCTAGTATCCTCTACCAATGCGACTCTAGTAATTCAATCAATCCTTTGCCAAAATCATATGTAGCTGATAATTACTGCAGGCTGTTAGAGGTTGTGAAATAGATGATTGCACGAATCAGTGTACAAGCAGTGGTAATCCTGGTGGTTCTTGTGCAAGCGATGGTCAGGGTGGGATTAAATGTATATGCTTTTAACCATTTGCATAACCGTGAGATAGTATTGCTAATACTATCTGTTTGCTCTCTATCGGTACGTTTCGAATGTCTATGAACTTCTCAATCATACTACTTACTGTATAACATGCTTAACATATAGGCTGATAAGTGTTCTTGCATAGTAAAAGAAAACTCACTTCAATATCTCCCTTCTCCCGGAACATTTGTATTGCTTCAGATTGGTAGAATTTGACTCGAGTCCTTTCTATCAATATGAACAGCTTTCCGCTGCTGCTTTCATGTGAAAGGGAAGCGTTGACTACTATTATTCAAGATAAGAATCCAAATACCTTAGTAAAACATATGCATACTAAGATTCATTTTCTTCTCAACATTCTTGTGTCCTATTTCTCCTGGAGATGGATGCTAATATCATATTGTAAGACTAAGACAATACCTCTATAGCTTGGAAACGAAGCAACTACTGAAATCACCTAGAGGCTTGTAGGAGATATACCAACTCGCCTACCTTTCTGGCTACCTCTTCACTATTGATTAATTCAATATGTTTTTGTTCTCTTGTATTATTAGGAATAATAGATTTCTTTGAGGAATAGCGTATGATCCCTTTGATAACCTTAGCTTTTCAGAAGAATAAAAATCCTTCAAATTGAAGAAAAGGGAATAGACAGAGAACAACAGAAATAGACTTAGGAAGGCTTCAACAGGATGTACTCATGTATTTATTACGATCCAACGTATCTATCAGGTCAATTGAGGTAAGCCAATATTTGGTGGTAGAAGTCTTTTTCTAATGCAGCTGGGTCTGGTACCTGTTTACAGGTTTCTTTAATCACGCAATCAATTGTACGATTTGTTTCAATAAGATGTTATCATTGTCTAATACTGTTTTACTTATCTCGATACATGATATCAAGTAAAAAGTATCTATATATAGAAGTATATCATAGTTTGATAGTATAAAGGACCAAGGTTATTGGAATCAATGTATACGCTGGTTCTTGAAGCGTTATAAGTAGGTAGAGTGATACACAAAGGATACGTAGTTATCAAGGGTGATAAGCAATAGTATTAAACTACCAAGAACAGGGCAAATAGGTCTTTGCAACAGTTCATATTTTAGCTTCTAGTAACCGAACTTCCAAATGACTGTAATTACGGTGCCAGCCATCCTTAGGGGTGAATGATTGCCTTTGGCTGACAGCGCGGCTCGAGTCAAGTGCAATAATCAACGGCTTGAGTCAAATGTAGTAATCAACGGCTTGAGTCAGGTGTAGTAATCAACACACACTACCTGCACTAACTACTACAGCACCTAATCCCTTGATCTTAATACTGCTCTGCATGATTATAGTGTAATACTCCATTGCAAATTTCTTATACGTATCGCATATTCTAATTATGTATAGAGATATCGTAACCAGCTCCTATCACCTCTTTATTTCACCTTATATATACAAACTTAGTGTGTTTCTTAGTGATTTATAATTGAGTTCTAAGTAAGAAGATATGACAAGTCGATAAAATCTTATTTGTATCTACTAGAAAGGGGGTGCTTGAGCTAGTATAGTGTTGGTATAGCTACGTTAGCCTCTACAACCTATGGATAATAGCCTATAAGTTTATTGGCTACAACACTGCTTATATGAGAAATATCTAGCTATATTCAGGATAGAAAGTTATTCTGAGTGAGTTAGATAGCAGTGTAAGCTTGAGCAGTACTTGCTTGACAACATGCCTGCTAGCAGATCCAAGGAATATTTTGCCTGCTGACTACACTTCCTAACTGTATACTTACTGGGGCTTACCTTCTTATAAACTATATAGCAAGAATAGTTAGGGCGTCTTTATAAATCAATGATACTAGCTAAACTCTAAACGCAAAGGGATATGAAAGATTTCAGAGTATAGACTGACTTGGAATATATCTTTCTATAAAAGGCTGAAAACCCTCAGATACTCTGAGCTCATAGCAAAATATCTAAAGAAACTACTCATTATACATCCTACCACATCCTCAAGACTACAAACGTCTGTTGCAACATGAAGACATTCGCTACTGTGGCGTTTTTGTGGCTTAGTGCTACTCTAGTAGCTGCTGGTCGCTCAGGACCTGTTCTTCATTGTGGTGAAGCTTTTTATAAGTTTTCGTTTATGTATACTTGTTAATCTTCTACTAACAATATATTAGCGGCTTGTAGTTCAAAAGTCGATTGCTGTCCTCAATTTGACTGCGTCTTTCATTTTGTCAATGAGGAAGGCGATTTTGCAGGACAATGTTCCTGAGTCTATAGGAAGAAGACTTTTTATAGGGACGGCTTAGAGGTAGCTGTACTATAAAACATGAAATACCTATACAGAAACATGAAAAAAAAGTAGAAAAGAAGAAAACCATAAATAAGTAGAAAAGGCGTTAGGGAACAAAAACATGTAGAAAAAAATATAAAAAAAGAATTTGCTTTAAATACCATGGTGAAAAGTGCGGTTCAAGCGTGAAGGGGATGCATAATAGTTTCTAGTTCTGTCTAGTATTTTTGTCTACAACACATCGCCTTCTACTTGTCTTTAGTAAATACCCTATCCTCTTATCATACTGGCTAATATGAGGCCTTTTAATCTATAATTCAACATACACCTACCTCACATTCACTATAATAGTTCTCGATACATCATCATAAAGGGTTGATATGCTCCAGAACAATGTAACCACAACACCTGAAATAGGCCCTAGGGTATTCCCCGCTGTTCGCAGAGCCTAGGCAAAGGTCGTTACGTTGAAGAAAAGGAGACTACTGTGCGTAATCCTGAGCAACGGATCATATATTAAGAGCGGCTTGTGACAGCGCAACAACGATATCCACGATACTGTGGCTTGCCAAACAGTCATTCCCAAAAACAATAGACAAACTCACATCTATCAAGAAAAATGCTCTAGTGTTGAATCTTGTAATCAAGATGCATGCAGAACCTCCTATCTTGAGTAAATGAGAATCGTCCTCTGGATTTGTGTGGAGTTACTAGCCGCTGCCCTTCAGTGGAAGGCAGCCAAGCAGGCCGCCAAAGCATGTTTGTGATGTTTCTCGAACATTTGAATTGTTTTCTACCACTAGGAGCTTAAAATTCTCCTCGCTAGTCTCTGTGAATACTGACTTTGTCGGCCGATATTCGAGCTAATGGTAGTGATAACCATACTTTTGGTATCACAAGCATGTCCACACAGTCGACGAGATTCACACCTGGACTTCAAATTGACAAGGGTCCTTGTTTAGCATACATGTTTTCTACTGGCGATTTACCAACTAGGCAAAGGCAGGTTACAGCAGAGTATTCGCCAATAGAATAGTTGTGTTAGATTGTAGACCATGCATTATCAATAGGTATCATCGCGCCATTAATCATCTGAGACTCATCCGAAGCCAGGAAAGCAATGCCACGCGCAACATCATCAGCACCTATGTTTGGAACAGGTGTGCCCTCGCTGTCCTTGGATACGTGCAGCTGCACGACAGGGCTGCCAAGGTCAGTCAAGGCTATCAATTACTGAAGAAACACTTACAAGAACGCGTCAAAGCCGGCGGAATCAAAATGCTCCATTTGTACCGAACTCGCAATGTTCGTAGCCACACCTCCGGGTAGCACGCCGTTGCACCGAATCCCTTCTTTGTGGAACCGCCATGCTACGTTCTTAGTCGCTCCGACCTATATCTATATCAGCCTTATCCGTATATGCCAATCACGCATGTGCAAAGAAGCCTTCACATACCAAGCCATGTTTACTTGCCGTATAGGCTATACCAGAGCTTGCGCCCGACGTTCCAGCCTTGCTGGAAACATTTACAATGGCGCCTTTGCCTTGGGCTTTCATGGCGGGAAGCACAGATTTCATCATACGGATCGGCACCGTTAAGTTAATAGCTATGACTCTCTCCCACTCCTCCTCGTGGATGGTGTCGGCGCTACTCCACCCGTCACTTACTCCAGCGCAGTTGACCAGAACATCGATGCGGTTGTATTTGCCAACGCACTTGGCCACAGCATGCTCAGCTGCTTGTGTAGCGGTCAGGTCCGTTTGATAAAAAGTAAAAGTCGAAAAGTCCTCGGCAAGCTTCTGCGGCCGTGCGCCAAGGTCAATGCCAAAGACAGAAGCTCCGCGCTCCAGGAAGAGGCGCGTTGTGGCAAGACCAATACCAGAGCTACAACCTGTAACTATGGCGACTTTGTCTTGAAGAGAGGCTATAGACATGTTGTATCAAGAGTCGGAGGATTCCAGAGTGGGTGGTAATATGGTAGCCGCACACGGCGTGCGGTGCCGGGAAAATTGAGCGTGACGTCAAGGATTAACTACAGTGCCCGTGCACCAGATGAGCACCATCGCCAGTTGAGCACCCCCAACAACTCAATATAGTCAACAAGATGAGGCTGTAGAGCCACCACAAATCGTAATAAAATTGCGCAAAGCTAGGATTATACTATATACAGGCCTACAAAAGTTTTGGCTTATTTAGAAATTTTTTTGGAGGGCGTTATCGGTCGTTGCCGTCGACTACGCGGTGGAGCAGCTCGTGCAACCCTTGCGGCTCCCACCACAGCTGGAGCAACACCACCACACTTTTGACGCTTTGTAGCTGGCTTATGAGGTTTTGACGCTTTGCGCTTACCCGATTGGGGCTAATTGTATAGCTTTGGCAGCGTCGCGGAGGCTTCTACGATGC